AACGGTAACGCTGAGGCTGTTTTTAAATAAGAGATTTTCTGCTTCAGGATTGACATTTCCACCACGACACAAAGCTCATCTACATGTGGAAACCCAAACAGGCGTTTTGTTTTGCCCTTTTCTAGAAAGCAAACAGGAAAATTATTGAAATATATTTAATAAAATATCATAAATGTAACTCGTACATTTATTTCTCCTTGACAGCAGGAGAAATAATCACCATCAGTCTCTGTTCATTTCCTGGACGATAATGACACGTGAAGCAACTCGTTTTTTAAATGAACCTCTTGTTGATTTGAGAAACAGGTACAGCGACATGACGTCACCTCTCTGCTTTCATCTATGACCCAGTCAGTTTGTTTATTTGGCTTCTGTAGCGTGACACATTTCCAGCGGAGCCTGTGTTGCCATGGTTCAGCTGAGCATCACATCAAACCATGGAAACATTAATCAGGGGGCCACGGCGGTCTGACAGATTTCAAAGGGAGCTGAAAATATTAATTTCTGACCAGAGGAAAGAATGACCTTTCTCAGTCGTGGCTGAGAAGAGCTTGTTTTTCTTTTTCTTGTGCCAACGTGCAACAGTGAAGATGATCGTTATTCTGTATTTTTCTTATTGTCATCAAATCTCATGAAAAAACCCCAAACCAGAAAACCAGCTATGATTTACTAACACATATTGTGTGTGTATCAAAGCCTGATCTATCTTATTCGTCTGTGCTCCACTGCTCTACAAACTACACCGTCCTGCTGCCCCACATACTCACTAGCAAATGTGGATTAATCCGCCGCTGAAAATAGTCCCCAGTAATTCACTATTTCCTCCTGTTTGAGTAAAGTATAATAAAAACTACAATGTTTTTTAAAAAGGAAATTATATATTTGTGAGGTTGTCCGTCCGTCCTTTTCTCATGAACGCGATATCTCAGTAACCACCTCAAGGGAATTTCTTCAAATATGACAGAATCATTTGGACTCAAGGATGAACTGGTGAGATTTTGATGGTCAAAGGTCAAAGGTCACTGTGACCTCACAAAACACATTTTTGGCCACTCATCACAAATTCATATGCTAATTATGACAGGACTTAACGTGTGATGACATTTTATCGGTCAACTTCACTGTGACATCATAACGTTCTGCAGGCAGTTATTCTAGTTTTTTTTAGTGTTTGTTATTGTAACTGATTAAAACACTGTACATCACATGAAGATCCCAAATGCAAAAACTGCAATAAATCCACACACACACAGTGAAGAAGCCCTCATTATACTGTGTGTATTCTGAGCTGTGCACATCAGTATACAGTATAATCCCCCTTATGGTGAAGAATGCATAGATTCAGATACGCAGCAGAAAAATCCACGTGGGAAGTTTTTCATTTCACATTCATAACTTACATTTTCCTCATAGTTATATATATATTTTTTTTTCTTTTTCTCAGCTGATTAATGAAGTTACAAAGCATTGACACTGTCACACGACATATCCATCAGCTCACATCTGTGAAATGTTTCATCACCACCAAGCAAATTACCACAGCAGATTCTGACAGCGATAACAGAAATGTCAGCTTCTCCTTTGTCCCAGTGTTTTACAGAGACACATTAAAACATGTTTAATTAGAAAAACAAGAACATGTGGGCAAACTATCATAACCCCATGATGCCATAGACCTTTTTTATTGATATTTTTTTCAGTTTTCACAACAGCAGCATTGGTTTTTATTTTTTATTTTTTGTGCTCCAAGTGGGTTGGATTTCATCCTCCAGAGCAGAGCAGTTACATGTGTGCATCGCCTATGTGTGCAGAAGCGTTGTACAGCAGAAGCTAACCTGGATGAAATGCAACTTCCATTGGATTGACAGAGCCACCAGATGAGTTTCACACTGAGCTGATCAATACTGTACACAAAGAGGCTATTCATCACAGAGCTGGAGTAGAGCAGGGCGGCTGCAGTGTAATTTGGCTCAAACACCCAACATGGCTGCCGAAAAAGACGCTCTACATGACGAGATGGGAACCAGAATCTCTGGCAGCATTATTGTTTTTTACACTTCACGAAAGCCTTATTGAATGAATAGATTGATTTTGGCTTTCTTGCTGAGACTTAGATGAAAACACTGACACCACTCTTATGTCTGTATGTTAAATATCAACCTAGAGCCAGCTAGCCTAGCCTAGCCTAGCCTAGCTAGTCATTTAAAAACACAGTTACCACCACCTCCAAAGCTCACTAATTAACATATATCACATCTGTTAAATTCATATGCACAATGTAATGTAAAAAACAAAAATTATAATCTGTTAACTATTTTTTGTTGTTTGCCAAGAAATAGCCTGGTCCCCATAAACTTTTACATTTGAGTTTGTGATTAAGCAAATAAGAAGTAAAGTGTTAATTTCACAATATGTTATTTTATGGCACTAGGGGTCTCCCAATCAAAACAATAATAAAAGTTTAGAGTTTGGTGATGTCATGACGTAGTGTAGCATCATGGGACTTGTTGTCTCTACCACTACTGCCATCAGCTTCCTCGGGATTCCTAATGTCAATCGTACAGGAGCTTTTTAGCGGGAGGTCTCCTCTTCAAAACAAACATACCAGGTGATTATAACCTGAGGAACCACTGAATTAAACAGTTTCACTTTTAAAATCAGTGTTTCTCCAGCGATGTACAAGAGACAGAGGACGTCTCAGAGGGGCCGGGAGCTGAGCTTGCACAGCTTTTTTCTCTGATAACTTAAGATCTTGATGTCCAATGACTAGAATCCGACATTCATTTCAAACATATAGTTAAAAACCACCTTTAAACTGTCAATTTTGTCGCTCCTGACAAGAAAACGCAATGCTAATGCACATAAGGGATATGACGGGCGACCACATGAAATGGACGTCACCGTGATTAAAACTAAAGATTTCTCTTTGTTTTAAAATTTGCTGGAAACATTTAGGATAATGTAACTCAACAAAATATGTACCATAGTTATAGTTGTTTGTTTATTTTGACATTTTAATGTAGAAAAAATGTACATTTTAGCTTTAAATGTTGAGCTTCAGAGGTGTTAGTAAATGTATTTGTTGCTGTAGGCTACATTAGCTTCTACTAGCATAACATTCCGGAATCTCCAACCAGACTGGTGGCAGTCGAGGTGCATTGTGGGTAGTGTAGCTGACAATATAGGTTGACAAGGAACGAGTGGTTCTGTTGCATCAATTTTGATCCTTCAAGTGTCCACGAAGAGTGCAACGACGCTGATTTAACACACAGACATGAGAGTGGCATCGACTGTCGCGTCTAACTCTCAGCCACAGAACAAAAAACTGTGTATTTGTCAGAATTATTCCTTTAAACATTTATAAAACTGGGTTCCTACACACTGTGGAGGTCACACCCTGAATTACTGTACGACATGTGCAGGGCTGTAGCTCAGAGTTTAGAAATACTGAGGTCAAATTTTCTGTTGAAAATCCCTTTAATTTGACTCAGAACCTTTAAAAAGACTCACCTTGTGTAATTTGTAGAACGTGACCTCGGGTTGTGAAGTCCCTGACCTCAGAGTCCTCAACCATACAGCTACAGCCCTGGACGTGTGTAGCATGATTTCCACTTACTTCCATCACACTGTTGTTGTTTTTGTTGTTTTTGTATCTTTTCCTCTCAAGATGTCGGCAAACAGTCTCTTTCAGGTCCCAGAAATGTTCTTCTGAGCGCTCAGCAGCTGCAGCTAAAGCTTGACATTTAACATGTGACGGCTTGGCGGAGGAAAGAGAGTGACTGTGATCAGAATACCGTGACATTTTGAAGCGTTTAAAAAAAAAAAGAAGTATTTAAAGAGAAATGATCATCTTCCACAACTTTTTCCGAGTGAGGAAGACACAAAATGTCAAATTCCAACAGACGACTGTAGGAACCCTGTTTTATCAGCCCCCTGTTCAACTGGATTTGGAGATGGTTCTGGATTTGTATGGTACATCAAAGCTAATATTAACAATCAAGAGATAGATAGACTACTGGCTCTTCTGTCATTCAGAGTTGATCATTGCACATTATTATTTTTTTTTTTACAGTATCCCATTCCACTGAGCGAAACCCAGACTCAAATGAAGGTAAAAATCACACTGATGCATACAGATTCGTACATTTACACTCATTTCGGAGCCTTGTTTAAAGTGAACGTCAGCCACTGCCAGAAGAGAAAAGAAAACACACAACGCTGGCCACGAGAATAAACCAAACTTTGATCTTTTTCTCAAACTGAAATCATGCTCTTTTTTTTTTTTTTTATATCTCCATCTGGGCCAGGCACGTCTGAGGAACTAAACTAAACTTGTTGTAGGCACCAGTATTTCCCCTTATTGAGTCAGGAAAATGAAACACAAATCTTATTTTTTGCCCTTGGGGCTCACGGTAGCTTAGTGCTAAGCTGTTTGTGCTTACAAGCCAACTGATGTTGACTGTCAAACTCATATGGCAAAAGTGAGTCTGTAGGCTACAGTCCAGTGCAGCACGTACAGGAGGGGTGCGGGTGGGTGAGGGGTGGGCCCCTGCGTCAGGGGCTATGGGCTTTCTCCAAGTCATTATAATAAACACTATCAACTGCAAACCAGTCACAGAGCTTCCACATCACAACATCCACTGATCTCTCTCCTCTGCAGCGACGGCAGCTGGATATTTATGAGCAGAAATTCCACCGGTCAGGAGATGACAGCCATTTACCACTGAGCAGTGCCATCAGATTACACAATGCAGACTGGATGGATGGCAGGTCGATACATCTCCACAGTCCCCTGCACCATCCATCAGGTGGAAGCTCATTCTGCAGCCACATTATCATGAACAATCTGGATGTTGGTGGATGTGTGGGCCTCAAGGAAAAACACAGGGAGTGACATATTTGTGGGTGAGGGTGGGTTTGATTCAATTTCTGGTATTGTACAGATGATTGGAGATGAGGAGGGGTGGGGTGGGGGGGTAATTATGGCTGGTAATCATCGTTCATGCCCTGCAGCATCTAAACCGTATTAGTTTGTGGAAAGCCTGCTTGAAGTCCTCGTTGGACATGGTGTAAATGATGGGGTTGATTAAGGAGTTGAGGTAACCCAGCCAGGTGAAAATGTCAAATAACTCCGGGTGGAAGCAGGACTCACACACAGGCACTAGAAGAGTGTAAATGAAAAACGGGAGCCAGCATATGATGTAGGCTCCGAGGATTATTCCCAAAGTTTTGGTCGCCTTCTTCTCCCTGGCGGCGGAGATCCGCTTCTTCTCCAGCAGCGCGTCGGACACAGTGACTTTGACTTGGCTCACGTTCGCGGACGAGGTAGTGTCACAGGAGGAGCTGTCGTTCGTCCCGTAGTTCAGGGAGGTGGTGGACGCCACCGAGCCGGGGGAGTTTGTGATCAGGTGCGCCGAGGTGAGCCTCTTCCCCGGCTTGTTGTGCGACTGCTTCAGGATGCGCTTCCGGGCTTCCACGTAAATCCTCCCGTACAGGGCGATGAGCAGCAGCGTGGGGATGTAGAAAGCGCCGAAGGTGGAGTAGATGGTGTAGAAAATGTGGTCGGTGTTCACGTTGCAGCTCGTCACCTCCTCCGCTTTCACCTGGCGCCAGAAGAAAGGCGGCAGGGAGATGGAGATGGCGATCACCCAGGCGGTGGCGATCATCCCGGCCGCGCGCCCTGGCGTGCGCTTCTTGGAGTACTCCACCGCGTCCGTGATGGCCCAGTACCGGTCCAGCGCAATTACGCACAGGTGGAGGATGGACGCGGTGCAACACGTTATATCCGAGGAGAGCCAGATGTCACACACTACCTGCCCTAGAGTCCAGGTTTGGCTCACGGTGTACAGCGCGCTGATGGGCATCACCAAAATGGACACCAGGAGGTCCGTGACCGCCAGGGAGGCGATCAGAAAGTTTGCCGGGGTGTGTAATTTTCGGGATTGGTAAATGGTGGCGATGACGAACGCGTTTGAAAGCGTCGTAGCGAAAGTTATGAGGGCTAAGGTCACCCCTAGACCCGCCTGGAAAGCCAGGTTAGTGTCCTTCTCCTCCGCTTTCGACGTGAAATTGGCATGGGTGTCGTTGGTGGAGATGTTCAACAGCTCTCCGTAGATGACAGGCGTTGGTTTGAGCTGACTGGCATTCTCCATCCCTCCACCTTCCCTCGTCAGATCCCCCCGTCATGGAGCTCAAAGGAAAGCCTGGAGATCACTCTGAAATCACTCAAATATTCATCCACCGCTCGCGCTCCTCGTCTTCTGTAAACGCAGAATAAAAGCGGCTCCATCTCCGGCAGGTATCCAACAATCAGACGACAGGTGTTTCCATAAAGACGCATTTCTGCCTCCTCTTCTTCATCTTTTTATTTTCACTTCACAGCATTTTCTTCTTTTTTCTTTTTTTTTTTTTTTACTGTTTTATCAACTTAAATATCCAAGAAATAAAAACGAGACGGTGCGTAAAGCAGCTTTTCATCATCCACAAATCAGTGTCTGTGACGTTAGAATCAGTTTCCAGATCAAACCAACATCCAGTGTTAAAATCTAATCATTTAAATATAATATCTACACCTGCAGGTTGTTAATCCGCTCTGTGTCTGCTCACAAGTTCAGAGCTGCTCAAGTCTGACTCCTGGTTTTATACTGCCAGTTATCTCTCTCTCTCTCTCTCTCTCTCTCTCTCTCTCTCTCTCTCTCTCTCTCTCTCTCTCTCGCTCTCTCTCTCGCTCTCACCCACTGTCCCTCCCATACTCTCCCCCCTTCTCTCTCTCTCTCTCTCTCTCCAATGCTAAAGGGATTCTTGATTTGTAATTTTTTTGTAACAATTTCCCAATCATGCTCTCTATTAAAGACCAGACTGATACTGGTATTTTTCAGGCCAATACTTATATTGATTATTGACAAAATGCTGGGCACATTTTTTTTTTTTTTTTTAGGATTCCTTCACTTTGGTTCAGACTGTTGTGAAATACCGATATACACTGATATGTGTTAATACTACACATGATAATATGATGATGGCAGATGTTAGTCCTCAGTTCATCTTGTTGCCTTTTCACTGTCCATTAAGTGTAATTGTTCTTTTTGTTGTTATGGTAACAGACTCTCCCTCCACCTCCTCCACACATATCTGAGTCTATATTCGCCCAAAAACAGACAAAACACACAATAAACAAAGTTAAAGATGAATTTGACTGATAGCACCATTATTATTATTATCGTTATTATCATTATTATTATTTTTAGTGTTATCAATAAAGATATCACAATAATATCATTATTGTGAATTCCTTTGGCCACAATAACTTTGGTTATTGAAGAACTGTGACCAATAAATGAACATTTTACAGTGTAAAAAATTTTCAACCTTGAACGCAGCATTTGACAAAACATTCCCATCATAACACATGACCATGATTTCACACAGAGAGAGGCAATGCATTTTAAACAGCACTTTATCAGACACTCAGGTTGTTCGTTTACTCCATGTGCTGATGAAGACCACAAAGTGCAGTTGAAAGCCCGAGAAAAAAGCTAGTAAGTGAACCTTGAGTTAAGATTTCATCTTTTTAAATTGAGAATGTAAACTACCCCCAGGCTGCTAATGACCCTGAACTCCCAGAGGAAAAGAAACAGAGGACTCGACCTCACGTGTCCTGAATCGTAGCTTATCAGAGCTGAGATAAAATCAGCTGATGATATCGGTCAAGCCTCTGAACCAGTCGGCTTCTCCTCTGGTGGATCAGCTCTCCTGTGTCCTTCAAAGGAGTCCAACAAAGAGCTCTTTAAATCGCATCTGTCGCCATAAACAACGCCTGAAACTGTCACTATTATAGGAGATTAATTCCCCGTTCAGTGGTAATGATTTAATAGTAAAAGTTTATTGATACAGCATCATAGAAAAACCACTGTTTCACAAAAAATTACTTAAAATAGAAAAAAATCAAAGTGAACAGTGAACATTTAGATCAAAAGATATGGACTACACTACAAGGTTATTTAAGGGCTTCACTCCATTCAGTCACTCATTTTTCACCTTCACATTAGGGCGGCAGTTTCTGGTAAGAAGTGTGTTATGCTTTAGTTCCTGTAATTTATTTGTTAGTCTCAGAGAACCTTGTTCATCCTCATTTCTTTAATTGGTGTTTTTTCTGATTATTCTGACATCACATGAATGCAGCTTGTGAACAGATACATATAAGGTCACCAATGTAAGATGGAGAAAGACCATGAATGAGCTGTAATGAGAAAGTAATGGGAGCCAATGGAGGAAACTGAGACATCTTTTTTCTTTTAGGTAAGTCAAACTTGAAAAGGGTTTTTTTTTTTTTCTTTAACCGTAGCTGAAGAATCAGTCGGGGACTTCATTCCTTTCAGCAAACAATATTCACTTTCAAGGACAGTCAGAGTGAGATTTCACACATAAATCATTTATCAGGCTTCATTTCACAACATCCACGCTGCACATCAAGTCCACATTATGTAGCTCTGGCGGCCTTTGTATTGATCGTATAGGTGAGCAGAGAGCTGAGTCACAGAGCAAAGAACCCCCCACCCCATCCCCCCCAATTCTCCGGCTGAGCTTCTGCTGACCTTCGCCTGCATGTCTGTAGACTCTGCCAATCACGTCACCGACACACTCGGCTGAAATCTGATTCGTCTGGAGGGTGGCTGGCCTCGGTCTTGGGGAGAGGCCGAGGTAGAGGGTGAGGGGCTCGGTGATCCAGCAGGACCTCTGTATCGAGCTGCTGCTTCTACAAATGAAGAGGAGCAGGTTGGGTTGTTTCAGCAGACACCCTGAAATACTTGAAATGTGCTGCGAGGATATTTCTCCAGGTGTAAGCTTCGCCGCAGAACCAACTTCATCCAGTGAGAAGTTACTGGTAGTTTCAAAAGCTCGGGAAACTTCTAATTTGCTAAACTGAGAAAATGTGTGTAGTAGAACTGTGCAGCTGTAAACCTCTGGTGGGCAGTTCAATTAATGACATATCATTAATGTAAGGTTTTTACCCCACCGTTGCCCCTTGAAAACAAGCAGTGGAAGAAGTTGTTGAGTTTTACCTCCATGTGTAAAAGTATGTGTGGTCTACCTTCTCTCCAGGACCTACAGTATCTGTTTTAGCAGCAAAAAAGCTTAAATTACTTGTGTGGTGTTATGTATTTACAGCAGCCTGTTCACATGTGACCAGATAGAGTGTAGCTCTTGTTTCTTTTCTTTTTTTAAATGAACTGAAATGATTGTATTAATGATAATATTCGATTTAATATTAGATTCAACTCTTAGATTTTGGAAAAAATACAGGAAAAAAGTTGTTTTGCATTGAAAACTGGTGGTAAAACAGATTTTTATAGAGAGACCACTTTCCCATGTAGCCTCACATGTTGCTCCATAGCAGTTCTAGTATCACTCGGTTTCATTTACAAAGGAGAATAAAAGGAGCCATTAAAAACACTGAATCCAGTTCAGCAGTGTATCGCCTTAAGTCTCAAGTCGTCTGTCTCGCCCATTTCTCCTTGTGAATTTTAGGAGGAAAATATAAAAAACAGCATTTCAAACAAAACAGAAACTAAAATGAAGCTGAAATGAGAATCAGTTTTGTCTCCTGAGCTGTAGAAGAAGTTATCAGTGTAGTACAGCTCATGTACATTAGTTTTATTCATAACTTAATTATTGTCATCGTAAAAGTGTTTGATAAATAAACATTCTGTGATTAAATTGTACCGAGTATGTTATTTCTCATATTTCCCATCTGCCTCATGACTGTAACTTCAGAAGGCTTCAAAAACCAGTGGGTGACGTCACGGCAGTTTGCCCCTTGTTTGAGACCTGTGCTGCGGCTCAAGCTAAGTTAGCATCGTGAACGTCGTCCAGTAAACTTTCAATGGGGGGAGTTGAGGAGGACAGACGGCGGGAAATGGAGAGCGACGAAGGCAACGTAAAAGGTAAATATTTAGTTTTACCGTTAACGTTAATAATGCGAAGTGGCAGAGTTGTGTAATCCGGTTTATACTGGAGCATCAGTTGTGTTGTTACGTGTTTTAGCTAGCCGTGTAAAGTTAGCTACAGGCTATAACTACAGTTTAAATGTGAAGCTGAGTGTTTTCTTCAGTTGAATTGTAGAAAATACAGGTTAATTTAGGATAACATTACACACATATTGAGGACAAGACTTAAGCTTAAGATCCCGGTGAAGGTTACGATCCAAGATAAAAAGTTGAATGTCTAATTAATCTGCCTTTGCTGGCTGTCCGATAATGGACGCATGGAGCTAGCTAGTGACTTAATTTAACTAAGATGGTTTTCTTTAGATGAGCTTCATTAACCTAACTTAAGGCAAGGGATAATGATTAATCAATTAGTGATTTGACATAAAATGAATAGCAACAGCTAACTAAATCATTAACATGAGAAAATACTGAACAGAATGATTGATAATGGCAATAATCATTAGTTGGAACCCTGATTGCTGGTTTGCTCAAATGATCTTCTTTCCCCTACTTGTGTGGCTTCATATATAGAGTTTGTTAAGATGAAAGTCATAAAATGAACTTTATATAAATGAGCAGTTGTTCTGGGAGCAGGCTGGCTGTGATGGGAAGCTTTTAAAGAACAAGGACATGTTAAATCTTACACAAACATACTGTGTGGGTGCAACTAATGATTATTTTAATCATCATTTATTCTTCTGATTATTTTCATGATTCAGTAATTTGACTGGTCTATTTATTGTCAGAAATGATCAAAGAATTGGCGTTTTCAGGAAGTTTTTGTCCAAACAACAGTCCTATATTTTATGTAATATTACATAGGACGAAGAAAATCATTAAATCCTAAAATTTAACAAGATCAAATTGGATTGTTTGGTGTTTTTGCTCAAGGCTTGATTAAAACATTTAAGTGATTATCAAAAATATTTGTTAATCTAATTAATCAATTAGTTGACTAATTGTTTCAGCAGTTTTGTGACTAATATAAATGATGCACAGTATGTTGTGAACCTGCTGAAAATAAGACTCAAGTAGAGCTGCAACAATGAGTCGGTTTATTGATTAGTTGATTGTCAGAGAATTAATCGGTAACTATATTTGATTTAATGGTTCCAGCTTCTCAAATGTGAAGATTTGATCTTTTCTTTGATTTTTTCTTTGCCACACAAGACAGAGGGGAATTATAACAAGTATCTTTGACTATTTTTT